TTCAACCAGTTTAGTCGAGGGAGAGACTGCAACCGAGGAAAGAAAAACAAGGGGCTGTTTTGGACATGGACATAGCAAAACTACTGGAAAAGGCGAACATTGTATCAGGCAAAAAAGGAAAGCAGGGGGTTTTTTTTAAAGAAAAGACATGTAGATTGTTGGTGATTCCCATGGAGGAGACTTACTACTTCAACCAGATAAGTGGAGGGAGAGGGGGAGGGACCAAGGGAGGAAAAACGAGGGGCTGCTCAGGACGTGGGTTGAAAAGATCATCAATCATCGGATTTCCATGGCAGAGTACTTATCCGTTGCAATGCTGAAATTAGCAACTCTTGCTGAACTGGACTAGTCAGGATGATATGGGATTGCTAGGTTTATATTCATTTAAGATTCCCACATTTTTACAAATTTTACCTATGACTTTTGATCGTAAATAAAGAAAATGAGAGGAAAGATTTGTAGGTTAATTCAATATTTAGCCAAATTTAAATAAAACAACAAAATTGATGAAATAAATCTTTACATTAATTCCTTTTCCACAAAACCAGATATAGTTTGTTTCTCCGAACACTGGGTTCCTTACTCATGCCAAATACCATTGTTCCAATTCGATGAATATCAATTGGGCGGTTCTTATTGCAGAGATAAACAAAAAAGAGGAGGTGTTTGTGTGTTGGTAAATGATAATTTCAAAATTAAAATTAGGCCTGATCTTGGAAAATTTACAGTTGACACATATTTTGAATGTTGTGGTGTTCAGATCACTCATCCGCTTGATTTAATTGTGCTTTGTGTCTACAGACCTACCGTTTATACCAGAATTGCATATGATACTTTTTTTGATGGCTTGCGTTCTCTATTACAATACTCTATTTTGAAGAATCCTAAATCCTTTATTGTACTAACGGGAGATTTTAACATTAATATTTTAAAAACTAATGCTCAAACTGAAGAATTCCTTTCATTTTTAAATTCTTTCAAACTTTTCACAACAATAAAGGTCCCCACTCGGGTTTCAACTCTCTCCAGTACATGTCTTGATAATATTATTACCAATTTCAGCCCTAATATATGTATGTCTTATGTTGTACAAAATGGTTTATCTGACCACCTTACTCAGTATCTTAATGTGAATTGTGAGTCTATTATTAGAAAACATAAGGAACCTGTTATTAACAAAAAAACAATATTTGTGAGACATTTTTCTAAGGTAAATACAGGGTGCGGCGTGGGAACTTACTCTTTTAAAATAATCACAAAGTAAAAAGTATTAAAGATAGCGTTTTAATTCTTTCTTTTTTACAAAGAGCTACATTTAAAGTTTCGTTGGGTTTGCTTACAAGTTTAATTCTTGAATATTACATCATGTAGGTGACCTCCATGCTGTTCAATACATTTTGTCAGACGAGATCGGAAGTTTCGCCCCACCTTCTCAAGCATGTTTGGACCAATGTCAGCAATAGCAACGCGAATGTTGTTCTTCAGTTCAGCTAGAGTCCTCGGACGATTGGTGTACACCAAGGATTTCAAGTATCCCCACAAAAAATAATCGCAGGGGGCTAAGTCCGGCGAGCGCGCTGGCCACTGGAGATCGCCCCTTAAGGAGATCAGGCGTTGTGGAAAGTGTTCGCGCAAGAGAGCCATTGAAGCGCGTGCTGTGTGAGCCGTGGCCCCATCTTGTTGAAACCACACATTTCTTACACCAAGTTCATTAAGTTTTGGAAGGAAAAACTCTTGAATCATCTGAATGTACCGTTCAGAAGTGACTGTAACTGCCCTATCGTTCTCTTCAAAAAAACCATGGGCCTATGATGCCAGTCCTGGATAAGGCACACCAAACAGTCACTCGTTCTGCATGAAGGGGCTTCTCATGAAGTTCTCGGGGGTTCACACCACTCCAATATCGCATGTTTTGCTTATTCACACACCCTGACAGATGAAAATGTGCTTCATCACTAAAAAACACAAGTGCGTTGTTAGGCAAGTTTTCAACGATGGCTTCACATGCCCTTTGTCGTGAAACAAAATCACGTGGATTTAGTTTTTGCACCACTGCCAGTTTGTAAGGGTGGAATTTTAAGTCTTGGTGCAGAATTCGCCTAACTGTGCGATCTGAAATTCTAAGCGCAGATGCATGTTTTCGTGCAGATCGCTTAGGTGATTGCAAAACCGCCTGCCTTACTCTCTCGACATTTTCTGGCGTTCTAGTGGTTTTGGAAGGACCTGGTTTTTGTTTCCACACACTGCCTGTATTCATAAAAGTATTCACCCACTGAACGATTGATGTTCGACCAGGAACACGACCAGTGGGCGCGACATTAAACTGCCTCCTAAACGCACGCTGGGTTGCAACGATAGACCGGCCACTAGAAAAGTACACAGAGACTGCGAATGCGCGCTCCTCTCTCGACCACTGCATGGTTGCAACTGAACTGAGTGCCTGAGTGGACGAAAAACTTCATAGCCCGCGCACCAGATTGCGCATGGCCCCGCCTTCCTAGGACTAATGGCCGCCACGTGGCGCGTAATTCAAATAAGTAAGTTCCCGCGCCGCACCCTGTATTTCCAACTTCCTTAATGTTTTAAAATCAGAGGATTGGTCTTACCTCTATCAGAATCTGTATTTAACATCTGATGTAAATATTCTTTATAAGAGTTTTCTACATATGTTTAAACTACATTTTGATGCTTGTTTTCCATTTGTTAAGTCTAGAGATAGTGTTAGTCAGAATAAGGATAAAGTTTGGTTAACAATTGGGATAAGAAAATCTAGTAAACGCAAACGAGAGCTCTATGATCTTAGTAAACACTCTTCAAGCACTCCTTTTAAAAATTATGTAAAAAAATACAGCAAAGTTCTAAGTAAATGTATAAAATTAGCTAAAATTTCATACCACAGAAATAAAATTAAAACATCTTCAAATAAGACTAAAACTGCCTGGCAGATTGTGAAAAAAGAAACAAATACTGCTGCTAGTAACAAGAACAGATTTCCTTTTTTGTCTCAATCTATAAATATTAAGGATCAGTTAAATATAGTCAATAAATTCTTTGTAGAGACTTGTAAGCTTTTAAACATAAGTTCTAATGCTGATAAGTCAATCAAATTTTTAGAACAAGGAATCCATCCTGAATCCATGTTAATATCATTCAAAATGACAGATCCTCAAGAAGTTCAGCAAATAATTAATGATTTAAAACCTTCTAAATCTTCAGGATGGGACGAAATATCACCTTTTATCTTAAAACAATGCTCATCTTTCATCTCAACACCTCTTGCTCATTTAATTAACACTTCTCTTTATACAGGTGTGTTCCCAGATTTATTACTTTATTTGTATCCCAGAATGTAGCTGGTCTCTTCTGTGACCTGTCAAGAGCATTTGATTGTGTAAATCATGATATCCTGATCCGTAAGTTGCAGTTTTACGGTATATCGGGCAGGACTATTAAATTGTTGGTTTCTTTTTTATCACATAGAAAACAGTGTATAAGACTGCAGTCACTGGGGCTTAAGTCCGATTATGAATTCATCACAGAAGGTGTTCCGCAAGGGTCTATTCTTGGACCCTTGCTATTTTTGATTTATATAAATGACTTGCCTATGGCCTTCGATTCCAAATTAGTAATGTTTGCTGACGACGCTTCTGCAATATTTACCCATCCTGACAAATCAAGGTTTCCACAACTGATAAAACAAGAATTCTATAAGCTAGAAATTTGGTTTCAAGCTAATGGGCTATTATTGAATCACTCTAAGTCACTTTTAATCAACTTTCAAAAAAAATACCACAATAAAAATTTCCAATATGATAACACCACTATACCATGCTGTTTTTCTGAATGTACCAAATTTTTAGGGATAACTTTAGACAATAAATTAACTTGGAAAACTCACGTTGCAGAAGTTATAAAAAAGTTGAACAAAGCATATTTTTCAATTCTTATTTTATCTAGATCAGTAGATGTCTCCACTCTTATGATGGTGTACTATGGGTATGTTTATCCTATTCTTAATTATGGAATCATTTTTTGGGGCAATTCTGACAAAAAGAAAAAGGTGTTTAAATTGCAAAAACGAATCATTAGAATAATTTATTCTCTCAAAAGTAGAGATTCATGTGAAGATATATTTAAAATCAATAACATTCTTACTTTTCCTAGCCTTTACATCTATAATTTACTAATTTTTATGAAACAAAACATCTCTAAATTTTCTGTTAGTTCAGACAACCACAATTATGACACAAGACACAAAGACTGCCTTACATATCCCAAACACAAAATCTTCTACCTTTGAACTTTCGCCCCACTACTCTGGTATTAAATTTTATAACAACCTTCCTGATTGCATTAAGTCTGCATCTTCCCTCAGGTCATTTAAAAAAAGTTTATTTAAGTTTTTATGTAACAAGTGTTGCTATAAGCTCAATGACTTTTTCCGATGAGTGTTGTACGGCTTATTTATTTATATTATTTTTATGTTGGTATTCTTATGAATTGACACTATTCATGTATATTTTGTACATAATGAATAAAGAATGTTTTGATTTGATTTGATTTGTACTATGAGGATTTTCTGTGGATTTAAGGCAACTGTCTGCGAACGAATTAATGACCACCGTTGTGGCTCTAAGTCCAACTGAAAGTTTCATCTTCGTCATTTACAAGAGACTCGGCTTCTTATCACTGTATGTCTTCCTCTCTCTTCTTGATGCCCTCCGCCTTATACTCTCTCTCTCTCTCTCTCTCTCTCACTCTTAGTCTTCCTCTCACTCACTCCTTGAGCTGAACTGTTGATTCAGCCAGTTAATTCTTGGGAAATGTTACTATCAATGCAGTTTTCTACAGGAAGTAACTGCTTTAGTCATATTTTTTAATACTGTAAAACAGTTCCGAATACTCGTTATTCAGTGAACAGTGTTGGTTAAAATGGTGTAGAGAAAGACATGCTATTGGTCCTCAGAAAAAATGCACCAAGATTTGACTTTGTCACAGAATTTTTATTGTGGTCCTGGGTTATCCCAATTTGCCAAAGCAGTGTAGTTGACATTGGTGATGTGCCAGTGTTGAGTCTCGGAGCTCGGATCACAAGTTGATACAAAGATATTATGAAGATCTGTGTCTAGACATCTTAGATTGCCACCATGCACCAGCCACTTCTTGTTCTAGGGACAACAAACAGAAAGATAGTGATTAGTGGCTGATTAACTTTGAAAGTAGTTAGGGAGCTAATTTTTAAAAGTTCGCATTGGGGGCCAGAATGGATCTTGATGTATCTGAACCAGAGACCTTCAGATTCGAAGGTGAGGTTTAATTTAATGATCTAACTATCATCAATCAAATGGAAGAAGATTGTTTGCCTACCTACTTGAGTGTACTTGAGTGTTTGTACCTACCTGTGTGTGTGTACTTGAGTGTTGTGGTATTAATACATCTGGAATTAAGGCAAGCCATTGGATGAGCACCTTATTATTTATAGTTAACTTAGTTACCAAAATACACTAACCACATCATATCTCCACATTTGGTTTCCTTGGTCTCCGTGGCAGTTGTAGAGAAGTACAGGTGCTTTGTCACCAGGAGCACTGACATCCCAACACATGTTTCGACTCTTGGTGCGGACGTCCTTTCGCCAAGTCAGTAGGAACTCCTGAGTTATTGAAAAAATTGGATAAGGTCTGAAATGCTCATGAAAGAAAAAAAATCACCAAATTTCCAAAACTCATAAATGTTGTTATTTAAGTTTCTGAGGACAGATTATTGCTAAAGTCAAAAAGAATTTTGTTTGCGAACAAAGTTTCAGTTACGATTAAAAAGATGTTTCACCTGCTCTCCAGATTTTCCTGAATGATCGCTGATGCAATCATCCAAGCCGAAAGACATATTCTCTCCTTTGTTTTTAGTGTCGATGCATAGTGAACTGGCCGCACCATTTCTTATCTGGAAAGAAATGGATGCATAGTAAATTGTTTTGAAATTGAGTCCTAAACAAAAATTAGACTGGAACTAGTTATCAACTTGTAGTGGAGTACAAAGGCTGTAGTGGAGTACAAAGGCTGTAGTGAAGAAAGCATTGCAGAAAAAAGGTTTATGTTTTGAAATTTGAATGTAGAGCAACTCACCGGGCAGAACTGGAATACGAGAGGACATTGAAGGTCTTAGAAACAATACTGTTCTACAGAATAAAATCCAACTTAAGGTTAACACAAACGACAAGGTATTCAAATAATTACTATTAATTTATTACCTATATTATGAAAAATATACCTTCCCCTAATTTAAAAGTTTAATTTTTGCATTGGTGATTAATAAACTTAAATGAACCATATTGACCTCTCCAAAGCCAAAATGTGGAGGCTCAATGACAGGATACTTCTTGACAAGATCGAAGGCAACCTCTTCCATGAACCAACGGAAGGGTTTGCACTGCAGACGCTCACGGACGGCCTTCTGCTCAGTAAGGTCCCCTGGGTCGATGGAGCGGATATGGGGCTGCCGCATGTACAGATACTCTGCATACTCATCCATCCACACCTCTGCCACTCTTCTAAAGTTCTGTAGACAAACTATATTTTAGAAGATTATTAACTTGATTTTTATGTTACAGTGATTAAAGATATGTCACTCATGGCGCCCGAAGAGGGAACTTTAAGTCATTCTAACCTGTCGAGAGGTGATGATGGTGTGAAAACCATTAACCTCTCAGACAGATTGATAGTACGTGAGTTAATGTTGAGTTATTGTGTTCACCGACTAACCGCTGGTGATGGCCGAAAGTCTCGTCTAACTAACCCTGTATTACGAGTTGATGACGGGAGGAAGCTTTCATCTAGATTGCTCGCTGACGATCCCATTTGATTCAAGGTGGGAATCAAGATAGCCTAATTGAGAATAAACCAGCTGTAGGTGTCACCTGCATATTGTGCAACACCCAAGTGTTACTACCCAACTCTTCCAACCTTTTAGGCAGCCAAATGTAACATCATGCCTGACTATAAAAACAGCGTTCGTTGGGTTGGGTGGCATCAAACAATGTGCATTCATTTAGGTGCCGTTTAGTTCCCAGATTAGTGACCTAGCGTGAACGGTTACTTCACAAAATTATCGTTTGAACTTTTTAACTAAACAAAATGTTGCTCAAAATAATATTTTAAATTACTAATTTTCAACATTTTATTATATAAAGTCTATATTCAACAAAATCTGTAACTTGGCTTCAACAAACTTTCTTGCAAATAGTACTGTACTCCTTTAATCTATTAACTTCTTCAATTTACATTATAAAATAGATGAAGATTTGAAAATTTTAACACTCACTCTTGCGACAAAATTCCCACCATTTGGAAAAGGATTTGGGAAAGGGGCAAACTTTCTGTAGATGTGACCGACGCGGGAGCAAGGAGCGTCGAACATCCGCCCACCGCACTGCCAGATCTTGAAGCTCAGCTCGTATTGTTCCCCACCCCAGATGGTAAGGCCGGGGTCATAACCTCCGAGCTCCCAGAAGAACTTGGCACTGATAGCGAACAATCCTCCAGCCATCACTGGTGATCTAAGGCAATGCAGGCGAGAAAGGAGAGAGAAGAAAAGAATTTGAAAAGTCAATTAAATAACAATAAACTCAAATGGAATAGTTTGTTACCTAAAAGGCTCTGCGGGGTTTTTGAGGTCTTCAGGGAGCAAAGGAAGTCTCTTGTAGTAGAACTCCCAGTCAAAAGCTCCCCGAGCACCCTCGTCTTGGGCACTATACGCAAACGTCTCATAATCAATTATATCTATGAGGGGGCACACGCAAGTGCGATAATCCTCTGCAATCGGTTCTAAAACACGATACAGAAAGGTGAATATCAGGTCTTGGTGTGAATCAGTCAGTCAAAAATGATAAAACAAACGTGTAACGTCAATAGTCACGAACACAAAAATTAATAGTCACACGGACAAATATATTGACCAGTGTAGTCACACGGACAAAGATATTGACCTCTGTAGTTACACGGACAAAGATATTGACCTCTGTAGTTACACAGACAATAGTTACATCAGTAATCACAAAGAAAAAAATAATCAATCACATATTAAAAACTAAACTTCAGTAACAAAAACAAGTAGCAACAAGTTTTTTTTTGAACAAAATCTGGAAATGCCCAATAGTCAATTCAACAGCTATCAGTTCTACAGATACCTAGTAGTGGAGGAAGCCAGTTAATGTTAGCCTCGATGTGGGAGTCTAAAACCACCAGTACCTGACCAGAGGCTATTTTCGCTCCAGCCAGACGAGCTCTGATCAAACCATCTCTCTGAGGCAAGTGTATCACCTTCACCTTGGGCAGATGTTGGGCGACGTAGTCATCTAGTGGCTTCTTGCAATGGTCTGCAATAAAAAATAGCCCACAATGACAATTTATTGGAAACACATTGTCATAAAAAATATATATAAGACTAAATAAATTTTCAGCAATTGCTAAAATGTTTTTTATTTCTGCAATTTCTTTCAGTAACACTCTTGCATCCAATTAGAATGTCAACAGCGAACATGAGAACCAAGCTAATCAAAACAGTAGAAGGTACACACAATCACATGATTTTAAGACAGGGAATAATAATGATTATTGTAAACTAAAAATTGAATGTGACTTGAACAGAATTAAAACTGATAAAGCTATATACAGTATAAAAATATGACAATTGCTGTTGTATTCTCCTTAGCAAATTAGTACCTTTTGAGCTGAAGTCATCTACGAGGATGATCTCCTTCAGTAGGTGTGAAGGAGATCGGTTGACTACACTCCACGCTGTTCGCAGCAACGTACTCCAATGTTCGTTGTGGAACGGAACAATCACACTCACGGAGGGCAAGTCCAATCTGTACTGCTTCCTCTGACATCTTTAAAAATATTTTTGTAATAGGTACATAATACCCTATGGACATATACGTTGGATATAAACAGACTATTTAGTGATTAAACAGAGGAGGCACATGGAGTCTCGAGGAGGGTCTATTTCTTCGACTTGTCCAGGTGGTCCCCGTACAATCACATTATATCAACTTCTGGTCCATCATTATAGAGCGGTCGAATAGGATGCGAGACTATGTTCCGTCAATGACGAGATGTGCTACGCCTTGAAGTTTCCGAAGACCTAAGCACGTGGTTTTTGGATCTGATTACCAAACCCACAAATGGGGATTGCTGGAGACTCCCACTGACCTATCTTTCAGGAGTTTGTATTTTTTAAGCTTAGGAGGAAATATTTCAAAATAAGCTGCTTTTTTAGACATATTAGACTTGTTTGAACTCCGTATTGAACCGATACCTACATGAGTATTTGGCGAGATCACAATTTAAAATTTTTCAACCAAAATTGGCACTAAGCCAATATAATACAGCAGGCCGTAATTTATTAATACTCACTCTTTCTTCCGAATATCTGGCAGAGATCGGTTCAGTGATACGTGATCACTTAGCAGCGCATTAAACCCATTCACTTTGTATAAATTCTGTATTTCATTGTCAGTAACTGTAGGTGGAAGTGTTGCGGGTTTCCCATGTTCTCCATTACCTAGAAGATTCAGTTCAAAATAATTGTTAGTCGAGAGTTGGGATAAAAATTATGATCCATCTAGAAATATAAACAACCTTAAATAAGCTACCGGTATTACGTTTTGAAACTGTGAAGAATTGTGTGAATTGTTGGATATTGGGTGTGTACTGTGTACATCCATTATATCCAGCAAGGGGAACTGTATTTAAAATTTACTAACACAATCCGTTGTTCGGCTAAGCAGATCTATCAATGGAATATTACAGGCTATGATTGCTTCTGTTCAATAGAGCTGAGGTACTTGGAGATCGCTCATAAGCCTTATTAGGACACATTATTTTTATGTAGCAAAAGAAGCTCCCTTTCCCACTGCTTGAAGAGCCACTAGCGTATGGCCAAGTAGGGTTTTTATGTGTTAAATGGAATTTAATTGGAATTTTATGCCCCGGGCATATCAATTTAAAACCGTACCTTATTTTAGGGGAATTGACTCCGATTAGTGTGTTAGCACTGTGGAACGATTATGAAGAATGAGGGCAGGGCACGTCCGTTTCTCCTGATAGCAAGGCTCTACCAGGATTATCCCTTGGAGAACGAGTTTTCCATTATAAGACAGCACGGCAGATGGAAATTGAGACAACTCCAGCACAGTTTTCAAGGTAATCAAAAATAGCTCTATAGGTTAAATAGGTTGTACACTTGATAAATAACCATCTTTTTGATGAACAACATGATTTTAGAAAGGGAAAATCCGTTAGTTCAGCACTGATGGATTTCACAGAAACAATTATAGATTCAAATATGAAGGAAATTAAGTTGTAGGAGTTTTTATTGATTGGTCTAAAGCTTATTATTACATCCTCTAAAGATGATAAAATTACCAAATATAATTTCATATCTCTGACCACTAAGTATGGGGTTCCTAAAGGATCCATTCTTTGATCTTTATTATTTCTTCTACAGGAACGTTGTACGGCGGAGACAGTAACTGATGCCACAATTGAGACAACAATCGAGGCCGAGATGGGAGACAACAACAACTGAGGCCAAGGCGAGAGACAACAACAACTGAGGCCAAGATGGGAGACGACAACTGAGGCCAAGATGGGAGACGACAACTGAGGCCAAGATGGGAGACAACAACAGCTGAGGCCAAGGCGAGAGAAAATAATAACTGAGGCAAAGACAGGAGACAACAACAACAGAGGCCAAGATGGGAGTCAACAACAACAGAGGCCAAGATAGGAGACAACAACTGAGGCCAAGATAGGAGACAACAACTGAGGCCAAGATGGGAGACAACAACAACAGAGACCAAGATGAGAGACAACAACAACAGAGGCCAAGATGGGAGACAACAACAGAGGCCAAGATGGGAGACAACAACAACAGAGGCCAAGATGGGAGGCAACAACAACTGAGGCCAAGATAGGAGACAACAACTGAGGCCAAGATGGGAGACAACAACAACAGAGACCAAGATGAGAGACAACAACAACAGAGGCCAAGATGGGAGACAACAACAACGGAGGCCAAGATAGGAGACTGACAACTGAGGCAAAGGCGAGAGAAAATAACAACTGAGGCCAAGACAGGAGACAACAACAACTGAGGCTAGGCCGGGGAACAACCGAGGCCAACCCGGGAGACAACCACCGAGGCAGTGACGCGAAAAGAGTTAGGATTGAAGTTTTTCTTGTCCAGTTAAAAGTTTTAGTGTGGCTTAGTTATATATAGTCTCATGGCTTAGCCCCAATCCCACGGAACATAAAGAGAATTTTCAAGTTTTAAATTTTTACACAAGAGTTTTATCTGTAATAGCTTTACTTTTCTTCTCAGCCATTTTTCTGTTAGTGTACTTGGAAATGATGTTTGTGTTTGACGATGTAATACCTTTCAAAGGGGTGATAAGGATTGTGTTATCTTTGTTGTTCATTCTTTAGTTTGGCTTGGAGCTTCAATGTTTTTGTGTTGCGACACAGTAGTTTGGCTTGGAGCTTCAATGTTTTTGTGTTGCGACACAGTAGTTTGGCTTGGAGCTTCAATGTTTTTTGGCTGCGACACAGTAGTTTGGCTTGAAGCTTCAATGTTATTTAACTGCGACACAGTAGTTTGGCTTGGAGCTTCAATGTTTTTATGATGTGCAGCAGACTCAAATGGGTCCCAGAATTCCTGCCATTTAAAAATATTACCATTGAAGGAAGAGACAATTTAAGTAATTTCATTCAGGTAGTTATGGACGTAGATGCAGGTAAGGGGTTTCATTTAAAACAATTAATAGCCTTTTTACAATAACATAAACAAACAAAAATCATATGTAAATAAAACATTTTGCTATATACAGTCTCATGGCTTAGCCACAGGCCGTGACGGGAGACAACAACTGAGGCTGAGCCCGGGAGACAAGAACTGAGGCCAAGCCGGAAGAAAACAATTGAGGCCTTGATGGGAGACAACAACTGAGAGAAAGCCCGGGAGACAATAACTGAGGCTAAGCCCGGGAGACAATAACTGAGGCCAAGCCGGAAGGAAACAACTGAGGCCTTGATGGGAGACAACAACTGAGGGTAAGCCCGGGAGACAACAACTGAGGCTAAGCCGGGGAGACAATAACTGAGGCTAAGCCCGGGAGACAATAACTGAGGCTAAGCCCGTGAGACAATAACTGAGGTTAAGCCCGGGAGACATCGACAACTGAGGCTAAGCCTGGGAAACGACAACTGAGTCCAAGCCGGGAGACATCAACTGAGGCCAAGACGGGAGACAACAACTGAGGCCAAGCCGGGAGACAACAACTGAGGCCAAGACGGGAGACAACAACTGAGGCCAAGCCGGGAGACAACAACTGAGGCCAAGCCGGGAGACAACAACTGAGGCCAAGCCGGGAGACAACAACTGAGGCCAAGCCGGAAGAAAACAAATGATGCCTTGATGGAAGACAACAACAACTGAGGCCAAGCCGGAGGATGACAACTGAGGCCAAGCCGGAGGATGACAACTGAGGCCTTGATAGGAGACAACAACTGAGTGTAAGCCCGGGAGACAATAACTGAGGCTAAGCCTGGGAGACAATAACTGAGGCCAAGCCGGGAGACAAGAACTGAGGCCAAGCCGGAAGAAAACAAATGAGGCCTTGATGGAAGACAACAAATGAGGCCTTGATGGAAGACAACAACAACTGAGGCCAAGCCGGAGGATGACAACTGAGGCCTTGATGGGAGACAACAACTGAGTGTAAGCCCGGGAGACAATAACTGAGGCTAAGCCCGGGAGACATCAACAACTGAGGCTAAGCCCGGGAGACATCAACAACTGAGGCTAAGCCCGGGAGACAACAACAACTGAGGCTAAGCCCGGGAGACATCAACAACTGAGGCTAAGCCCGGGAGACAATAACTGTGGCTAAAGCCCGGGAGACAACAACAACTGAGGCTAAGCCCGGGAGACAACAACAACTGAGGCTAAGCCCGGGAGACAATAACTGAGGCTAAGCCCGGGAGACAACAACAACTGAGGCTAAGCCCGGGAGACAACAACAACTGAGGCTAAGCCCGGGAGACAACAACTAAGGTTAAGCCCGGGAGACAACAACTGAGTCTAAGCCCGGGAGACAATAACTGAGGCCAAGCCGGAAGAAAACAACTGAGGCGTTGATGGGACACAACGACAACTGAGGCCAAGACGGGAGACAGTAACTGAGGCTAAGCCCGGGAGACAACAACTGAGGCTGTGACAGGAGATAACAACCGAGGCCACAAAGGAAAAAAAATATATTTGAAACGAGTAACCCTTAATCATTGCAGACTCTGCCTGGTAAACTTGAATGTGACAACCTAATTTGAAGAGATTAGAATTTTTTCTAAAAAAAAAATGGGAAAACACAAAATATTTTGTTTAAAACAAATTGAAGTCAACCAAAGTCCTGTAATTTAGGAAATATTTGAGTGAAAATCTGATCAGGCGAACGGAAATTCGTTTAGTCCACAGGTTCGCAGTTATTTGGGTATTTTAATATAACCTTTTTTTCGATACTACCCTCAGTTAAATACAACTCACAACTTACCACTTCTGACCTCATCATTATCAATTTGACGGTAATCGTGCCAATCCACTTTGTATATATATTTTGATGTATGATCTTTCACCTCTTTTTCAGTACGAGAGGGATTTTTTATATGCTTCTTCATCCTTAACAGATTATCATGAGGGGTAGGTTTAACAACTTTCACTTTGTAACCATACAAAGAAGAGTCAAGATAATCATTAGGTCTTGTGAAGTTAAAAATCATTACTGTGACAAACACAGTTATTAATACTAGCGTAACGTCACAACATAATCTTTTAAGGCCCCTCATAGTCTTCAGCGGTGATTTCTATACCTATTTCAGTTACAACAGAAAAGAGAGTTTAGTTCACCCTCTAAGGTTTACGTTAGGCTCAATTTTGTTAAACATATTTTCCAATGTGTTCTGAAATTGTGGGGAAAATACGTCAAATAAGCTAATTTTTTCAGGAAAGTAAATTCTAACTTCTTTACGCACAGCACCAGCGTAGTGAAAACTCGTGAAACAAACTAAATTTTAACACAATTCATTCACAAACAATATTCCTGTTAGTTCCAGCACTCACATAGACGATATGCAATCAACCAAGAGTCGGAGAAAGAGAATAAACAGGGCGAAACAATAAACAAGATAAAAACATGCCAAGATGACGTTTAGGCATGCTGAAAAGTCTACCTTGCACCATTATCTCGGGAGAAGCAGATAAGTGGAAGCAAAACAGGTGATTTGCACTACAATTCTTAATCTCTAGAGCATTTGTAAGTGCTGAGTTTTCCATTGCTTGAAACACACCTATACAACTTATTAAATCAAGTCTTACTCTTAATCGTTTACTCCTCTTGTTACAAGTGTTGATGGAATTTTTGGGAATGAGTTCCAAATGTTTTTAAGGGTTATGGCTGAAAAACTATCAGAGAAGTGGAAAAAACCATACAGTTTAGTAATAAGTTGGATAAGATCAAGAACAATTTGTGCTGTTTTAAGGTCAACCAGTATGTGTTTGAGGAGAACAAGAAAGAAATGGCGGTCAGCGAGAGAATTTGAAGATGGAGCTGGGATTCCAAATTTTTTTGTTTAAAAATTAATTGTTAATTTCTAATTTTACAGTCCTCTACTCTTTTTTGTAAAATTTCTATTGTAATAAAAAGTCTTATATTGGAAGATATTTTGTACAAGCAAAATAAAAATAATATATTACCAAGCCCCATTAAAAATAATAAAGTTTTTAAGCACAGATATAATAAATGTACAGACCTAAATCCGACGATTTGCACAAGAATACAGAGACATAAAACAACTTATTAACGGTTCTTTATATTCCTGACTGGCTTATCATTTATTTCAGGTTTTGTGCACTATATAAATATTTTCGACTGTGTGTGGCTCGGAACATTGTGGATTTATGGATGTTTGCGTCTCTTGCGACTAAAATATCCTCAAAATATGGCTGTTAACAGAAAAATTTCTAATTTGTAAAATGCCCTATTGTCGAGTTGGTAAAAACCATTAGATGCTCCTGTTGTATGGTACCCTATGGTATGTATGGTGAATTTTTGGTAGGAAAAGTAATTGTTAGGATACAGACGGTTGATTGAAGAGAAATGTCGGTTGTAATTCAAAACAGGAGTAGTCATACAGTAGTGAAAACTACTTCAGTTTTGGTTAGTAATTAACATTTTATCAAATTCACTTAATGAAGAAGTCCTATATTAGGACAAAATATTACAATAGCAGGTTTTAGGATCTTTTTATTTGCATCTATAAGCCCTGGACTTAACTTTTATCAGATAAACCTTCTCAAAAATAATCCATACAAGAGACTAGTTATCTTTTGTCGACATTTTTTACTTTTTTTCTTCTAGATTTGTTTGAGATTTTATGAGATAAGTGTATTTTAATCTTTTAGCTTTTAACATATCGTTTTTCTTGCTAGGAATATATAAACGCTATTCCGTAGTTATAGCGAGAAAGACGTCACAAACTCTCGCCAGCAGATCGATCAACTCGGCGTGCTGGGAAGTTTCCAGGGTTCAGATACTAAAATAATTAATTTAAATAACCTATCACAGGTACATTTTGTATGCACAAAAATGTAGTCTAAATCAGGTGTGAACTCAGTACCGATAACAAACAGCGTTACTGTACCAGCATCATCGCTCACACCTGATAGTAACTAATGGAATTAAATTTAGAATTAAAGTTAATTTATACAACCAAGGAAATTAGAAAACAAACTAATGCTGCAGTTTCACCAACCTCAAAATTTATAAACACTATCTTTAGGCTGATAAACACAAATTTCTTCTGATAATCTTACAAAATTATCGGAAGATGATTTTGACATCAAGGAAGAGGTACAAGCCAAATAAAAGTGACAATTACCAAATATGTCTTTATAGAATTTAGTAAACAAGTACATATACAATAACAACTCTGTACATAGGCATCTATTACAGTAAATAGTTAAATATACATCTTAATAAAATCTATTTTAGGCTATATTTCAAGTCTAACGACTATAACACATCTATATTGTTCTGTGCCTATAAAACACTGATTGTGCTCTTACATTCTAATTTCCGTTTAACAAAAAGTTCTCTTTGAGTACACATTTAGCGGTTTTGAAAATACTGTAAGCGTACAAAATATAATTAAAGACATAAATGCACTTGTAAAAACAACAAGTAGCTGAATAAAATAAATGTTAAACAAAAACAGTCTTATATATGGCTATACAACATAATCCTCAATATCACAACAAGTTATGGATTAGCTCAAAGGTTATTATTGGGAACTATAAACAAAAATGCAATTATAAATTTTGGACTAATACATACCGTATTAATTTAGCAAAGTATAATACTGATTTTAAAACTTACATTCGGTACAATTAACAGAATTTACAACATTAATGTTAAAATAATGGAATCAATTAGAACAATCACCATTCAATAAAAGCCATACATTTATTGCACACATTTTACAATCCGTTCTGGATTCTTCGTGATAAATAATGTAGTGTCGAATTTCTTTGGTCATCTTGATGATCATACTGCACTATTCTTTGCTTGATAATGCATTGAAAATAAATAGTTAGCTTCCAAAATTGCTTCCATCTTATTTTTAAAACTATTTGTTTATTTGTTTGCCAAATGAAAAGTAATCAATACTGTAAGTGCATCCATAATATTTCGCTTAATCAGGAAAGGCCTGGAATCAGGGAAAATGTTCTCTGCCGATATCAAAATTGCTCCACCAAATACCCAAGTCAATAAATAAGACAGTAGGCAGTTGAAAGCCTTAACTGAGGCAGTAGATGCACCTCTAAAACACTGCTGATGAGGCCCGCAAAAAGAATGAAAACCGCATACAACCAATATTTTAAAAGGGATTGCCAATCTTCTAGAAACTAATCCTTTGGATGAATATGTCTGATTTAATAGTTGTATTTGTATTAATAGTTTTTGTACAACAATCCTTGGATTAAACTTAAAAATATCAACATGATATTAGATGTTTAGCAACAATGTTATTTTATAATGATAAACAGTCATGGTGCAAATACAAAAACTGGGGCATACCATGAACCATGAATTGGAGGAATTCAAGAACAATAACTCACTTCCTACTGTTTTGATCAAAGTAATTAATAAGATTTTAGAAGACCTCTCAAAATCAAAACTCTTTAGGAAATTCCTACACTGTAAAACCCAAAATCCCAACGAGAGCGTAAACAATGTCATCTGGAGCAGGCTAGCAAAAACCACAGTTGTAGGTTTTCAAATCGTGAAACTTGGTGCTTCAGATGCTGTTCTGTGCTTCAATGAGGGCTATGAAGCCAGGTGAATGTGTTAGAAAAATTATGATGAAATTTGTATTCAGATTGAATTAAGATATTAGAATGAATTGATTTTAAGGCAAGAACTTAGCTCATGATGGAGACGACAACTGAGGTAATGACAGAGACAACAACTGATGCAACATATGAGGGAACATTTGAGATCATGACGGAGACAACTAAGGTCACGATGGAGACAACTGAGGCCACGATGGAGACAGCTGAGGCCACGATGGAGACAGCAACTGAGGCAACAAAGGAGACAGCAACTGAGGCAACAAATGAGACGACAACTGAGGCAACAAATGAGACGACAACTGAGGCAACAAATGAGACGACAACTGAGGCAACAAATGAGACAACTGAGGCAACAAATGAGACAACTGAGGTCACGATGGAGACAACTGAGGTCATGACGGAGACAATTGAGGTCACGATGGAGACAAAAACTGAGGCAACAAATGAGGCAACAACTGAGGTAACGACAGAGACAACAACTGAGGACTTGACGGAGACAATACTACCATTCAACCTTCCGAGACACCACTGAGTCGGGCTGTAGCTATCACCAACGTAGTAGTATGGTTGTTTGCTTCTGCAGATTTCATCATTGGCTAATGTAACATTATCAGACAGTTTGGTTACAGTGTGAAGATAGTCTAGTTTTTTTTAGTACTTTGTAAACAATATAACGTGTGTTTGAAATACATTGATAAACAGCTGTTAGTTTTAAATAGCAAAACAATATTATAGCAATTTTAGGAGCTAACTATTTCAAATTTTTTGAAAAAGCCAGCTTAAAGAATGATGCAATGTGACAGAAATATAGTTGAAGAAAAAGATCTAGTGTATTTTCAATCCTCATAAATTTTCAAACCTTGACTTTGCCCAGGTCGTTAAACAAAATTTGTTTAATACAGTATTCGTATCAAAAAGAGCTTAGCTGATGAAATACTACACAAACCTCTCCCTTAGAAGAGCGACACTTTTTTTAAAATTTTGATTATACATGACACCACACTTATATCTATCCATAAGGAGGCAATGTAAATGCAACGTTGCGAAAACATCTTATAACTACTCTCAGTACATTCTTAAAGGTTGGAAATTGCTTATCAAGACGGTTATTACAAACCAGACAAGAAATGTTGACACCTAGTTAAAATTTGTGAATGTGCCAAATATAATCTATTTTCTACATAAGGCACATTTGTGGACAGCTGCAGTTAAACACTACTTGTGCAAAAATACTCCTGCATTTGTAAACCTATGGTTGGGCAAGGCAAACATTTACATGTTCAATAATAGGTTTTGTTCTATGTATTATCAGCTAAAAACATTAGCAACTGATGCTGTTTCAGGATAGTGGAATATCTAAAATTACAACGTTCATTTTTCATTCCTAAATTATTGTTGTGCAAACCATAGTTTAGGTTTCTTGTTTAAACAGCTCTATGAGAAGATAAATTACAAAGAAAAACTGAAGGTTTTATGAGCTAATGCTAATACCTTTGACTATTAATACAACTTCAGTATCCAATAGTCAGTGCTAATACTTATAATCAATGAGCACCTTAAACTTGGGAAAAGAAAGAGTTTATTTACATTAAACACCAAATCAATATAAACAACCTCCAACTATTTTCTGATTTTTAAAAATGTTTTGACAACTTACTGAAAACTAATCACAGTTTACAGGCGCACATATGTACGGTTATTCGAACTTCTTTAGTTTTATTTGCTCTGTCCGTAAAATCACCATAAAAGTTAGTGTGGAAGTAATGAGGATAATTCAATTAAAGTTTTGGATATTTCTGATTTTTTTAAGATCATTAAACTAAGAAAACTAGAGTTTAACAAGGTGAATCTGTAGTAAACTGGCATCAAAATTTACACTCTGTTTGAAGAAGGATGGCGTGGGCGTTTGTAGAAAAATTATAAATAACTAACTAAGGGAGTTTGGGATTCCTGAAAGATTGTTTGTGGTAAATTGGGAAAAGGAAATCCCTGGAAGGGGTTGAAATAGCAAGATTATACACATTTAGACAACTGTGTCTTAAAATAGTCAAAACAATCCAAGGACAAAACAATTCCTACAAGGTAATCTATTAAGTTGCAAAGCAAACCTTTTTAGCTATTGCTTTAGGACAGAAAGATTTAAATCTACCTCCGGATGGCATTGTGAATGACTTAAATATTGTATAAAAACTACCCATTAAACCTGCAAATTATTATTTTTTTAAATACTAATCTAAAAACTACAGTTATTTTAAAGGAACCGTTTGGGATAGTTGGAATACATAACCTTTTAAGTAAAAGGGCCTCTAACTTAAAAAAATACATAACTTGAATATAGTAATAAAAGTTTTGAATAAAACAATAATATATTTTAATATATATTTATATACCTCTTAACTCTTAAAGAGTTCAAAATTGCAGAAAAGAACTCAATACTAGTTCAAAATACATTTTGATCTTTAGAACTAAGAATAGAAAATAACGTAAAAATTCTTTTGCTACACATAATGATTTGATCATCTTATTGTGATTTATAGAAAATACTGTAAATTGACTAAAGCAACTAACTAAAATATTACTACATTAATAAGTCTCACTATACAATTAACTATGTCTTATCCATTTTTTGTTCATGGATAATCATCATACATTTTAATGTATTAAAATTTCAATTCAGGAAAACTATTATTTTGCCCTATTTCAAAGGAATGTTGCAGTGTCAAAAAATGTCCAAGGGGAAAAATCAGTGAATGCCACTTCCCTCAATTTTCAGCTTTTCACGACGAGCAAAATCAACAAGCAATCTGCCACGCAGCGGCCAAATACCGTTAAACCTTTTTTTTTACTTTAGACATTACATCACTTAGACATTCCGTAAACAATCTCACTGACTATACACACAAACCCTGCTACGTGAATGACTTTTGAAGTCAACAATAAAATATACAAAATAATATAACAGAAAGGTAACAATGACTGAGCAATTGTTCACAAGTTTTAAAGTAAAGACAAATCATCGATCACAACCTGGATAAAGAGAGACACAATGAGATAAGATCAAAATTTACTGTGTCACACCCAGAAAATCAATCCGGAATAAAATGATCACTGATGAAATATGTGTAAATTTGGTTCTAAACAATCTGACAACTGATGAAAATATACGGATGATTAAAACTTGATTAACAAAGATAAAAACTTGCCGAAAATTATATTAGATATGATCACAGCGCTTTTGTGTTCACTGTTTTACTGTAACTCTCTTCCCCCAGGAAACCTAAATGGAACTCTACTGAGGTCCAGATTGTTCCCAGTTAGCCAAAGCTTTATAGTTAAGGTTGGAGATGTGCCAACGTTGAGTCTCGGAGTTGGGATCACAAGTTGTCACAAAGATAGTCTTGCGATGTAAATCTGTGTCTAGACATCTGGGGTTGCCGCCGTGCACCAGCCACTTCTTGTCCTAGAGACAACAGACACGGGTGAGCTTGAATTACAGATACAGCAGAGTGTCAACTATCCAAAGCCCAGCTATAAAGTGCTCTGATAAAATTGCGCTCCTTTCATTAGTCCAGCGAGCAACATCACAAATATGTAGTACAATTACGTGATGAAAAACCTAGAGTTTTTTTGTACCGTATTAACCCTTCTAACAAAATCTACCCTAAGTTTTCAGCATGGATACCTATGCGTTTCACTAGGTGGACCCCAACATCTTTACTGCGTCCATCCTTATACGCAGAGGTGTAAAACCTATATGTGCTTGACAGAGACCACACTCTATCTATTCGCTAAACTCTATACTTTTCAAATAATCAACCAGAACCACTCCATTTCAAAATAATTACTAGCCAACCACTTGGTTATGTTACACTGACCACATCATATCTCCACAGCTGGTTACCCTGTCCTCCATGGCAAGTATAGAGTTGTACAGGGGCTTTGTCACCAGGAGCGCTAACGTCCCAGCACATGCCTCTCCCTTTTGTGCGGATGTCTTTGTGCCACGTCAACAAGAACTCCTGTAACAGATGTCCTCTTGTTGTATAATTGTATATTTAGCATTTTCAATAGCCAAATTGCTTATGTGATCAAACTGTGTGGCTATTTACTTTCCATGTTTGATACCAAATCACTGATTCTTATTTCTATGATAATTAAAAGATTTTTTTTTAACTTTTTTTACGAGTACCTTTGAATTTTCAAACGTTATTTTCACTGATTTGGTGTTTATAACTGTGCGTTGAATGAATACGGAATATTTTTCTTTCAAATGTAATATCAAGAAAACTACCTGTTCGCCAGTCTTCCCAGGATTGTCTTTGATACAATCGTCCAAGCCGAAAGGATCATCACCACCTTTGTGCTTGGTGTCCACGCAGAGTTCCTTGGCCACATCGTTCCTTATCTAGAAACAATTGTAAGCTTCATGAAACTGGCTTCACTGAATGAAGCTCTACAACTTCATATAGATATTGGTTGCAGATTACTTTCTCATGTATAAAAACTGATACAGACACCATGCATGTAACATAATAGTGTTGTCATGTTAAAAAAATATATATATATCTCCTTCACGAAGACAGTTATATACAAACAATTCTTTGGCTCCTTCCCATGTTGTTATTTGTCAACAATAAACTTGTCATTCATGATCAAAGACTCTCCAAAATAACACTATGTTAAGTCTACAGAATAATCTTATACATTTTATCACTTAATTTCAAGTAAATCCAAAATCACCTCTCCGTAGCCGAAATCTGGAGGCTCTACAGGAGGATACTTCTTGATAAGATCGAAGGCAACCTCTTCCATGAACCAACGGAAGGGTTTGCACTGCAGACGCTCACGGATGGCCTTCTGCTCAGTAAGGTCACCTGGGTCGATGAAGCGGTATTGCGGACGACGCTTGTACAGATACTCTGCATATTCGTCCATCCACACCTCCGCCACTCGCCGGTAGTTCTACACAAGCAAAGTATTAAATATTACGAATGGACTCCCAAAACATAAAGTCAAACTTTAATGTAGAAGACTTTTTATGTTTTCTTATTTTCTAAACCAATCTCATGACCAGCTTCAAAGTAGCAAAGTGTTTTAAAAACAAACCAATACATGGATCGTAGTGAACAATTAAAGCTACCTGAGCAATTCTCAGCCATTTTATTCGATCCTAGGGAATAAAATCACTTCTATTAGATCAGCTGAGGCAAAACTATACAAATTAAATCCTTAAGTTCGAATTTCTACGTCAATTTTGAAAGGCTCAAGATCACACTCTTTGCAATCTACCTTGCCAACAAAATCTCCAATGCCAGGATTTGGAAAAGGGGCGAACTTCCTGTAGATGTGACCGACGCGGGAGCAAGGAGCGTCGAACATTCGCCCACCGCACTGCCAGATCTTGAAGCTCAGCTCGTATTGTTCCCCACCCCAGATGTTAAGGCCAGGGTCGTAACCTCCGAGCTCCCAGAAGAATTTTGCACTGATAGCGAACAATCCTCCAGCCATCACTGGTGATCTGTAGATAACCACAAGGTAAGTCGAACAACAATTTCGGGAAAAAGTTAACTACAGTTATTGTGATAATTTTTACTGTTTAAATGTTAAAACCTTCAAATTTAAATATTACTTGCTGTGAATATAAATTAAATAATTTCTTGTTTAGGGTCAAATAATTTTTAAACACCATCAATGAAACGTAAAAATAAAGGCTTATTGTACTTGAAACTGAATTCAATTCAATTCAAAACGACTTTATTTATCTCTTGTATATAGGAATACATTGAATAATGCTGACAGTTGCATGAAATAGTTATTAAATACATTGAATAAATGAATTATAAATTGTATATGAATAAATGAAGTTTTGATTTGAAATGATAAAAGCGACCAGATACCTAAAAGGCTCGGTCGGGTTTTTGAGGTCTTCAGGGAGCAAAGGAAGTCTCTTGTAGTAGAACTCCCAGTCAAAAGCTCCCCGACCACCCTCGTCTTGTGCTCGGTATTCGAATGTCTCGTAGGCGATGACGTCTATGAGGGGACAAACACAAGTGCGATAGTCCTCAGCGATCGGCTCTAAAACACAACAGAGACGCAATGTAGTTTTGGTTTATTTTTCATATACAACAAATAAAGAACCAAATACTTTCAGCAAAGGACCATTCTCGCCCAAAGAATGTAAAACAAAGGACCAAAAACAACAAAGGTCTTAACGATACATTTTTTCAGCCAAAAGATAAAACTTTTTAGGGATCTCTGCAAATTTGAGAATGGAAATATGGAACTATGGACATCAGCAAATATTTTTATAACCTGAGAACTACAATTGGCCAAACCCCCTTGAAAATATTCTAAAACCCCCACTTAAAGATTTTTTATAATGACAGGATCTATCTCAGTTAGGATCCTGGGACTAAGAAATGTATAAACTCTGAGAAGACACCAAGTTGTGTGCGAGGTAAAACACCACAACAAGAGAAATGTTTGAAGATGGACATCTGTGAAGACACAAAGTTGTGTGATGTAAAACACCATAACAAGAGAAATATTTGAAGATGGACATCTGTGAAGACACAAAGTTGTTTGTGAGGAAAAACACCTCAACGAGAGAAATGTTTGAAGATGGACATCTGTGAAGACACAAAGTTGTTTGTGAGGTAAAACACCTTAACAAGAGAAATGTTTGAAGATGGACATCTGTGAAGACACAAAGTTGTTTGTGAGGTAAAACACCACAGCAAGAGAAATGTTTGAAGATGGACATCTGTGAAGACACCAAGTTGTTTGTGAGGTAAAACACCATAACAAGAGAAATGTTTGAAGATGGACATCTGTGAAGACACAAAGTTGTTTGTGAGGTAAAACACCTTAACAAGAGAAATGTTTGAAGATGGCACACTGAGAAGACACAAAGTTGTTTGTGAGGTAAAACACCTTAACAAGAGAAATGTTTGAAGATGGACATCTGTGAAGACACAAAGTTGTTTGTGAGGTAAAACACCTTAACAAGAGAAATGTTTGAAGATGGACATCTGTGAAGACACAAAGTTGTTTGTGAGGTAAAACACCTCAACAAGAGAAATGTTTGAAGATGGCACACTGAGAAGACACCAAGTTGTGTGTGAGGTAAAACACCTCAACAAGAGAAATGTTTGAAGATGGCACACTGAGAACCAAGTTGTGTGTGAGGTAAAGGACCACATAACATGCAATAGCGAAAACCTTATCTACCAGCTAAAGAGCAAACCCTGGCAAGCTCAATATATAGGCCTAACCACCCAAACTCTAAGAAAAGGATGAAGGGACATAGACAAACAAATAACAGAAACAAAACAATAAACAAACAAACCCATCGCCATACATGAAGCAAACCTTAGATTTTGAACTTAGATTTTGATTCATGTTTTACCACAAAATCCATCAAATCCCTCCTCAAAGACCAATGCAACAGCCCCTGCTCAGAAGGTGGGAACAAGCCTACCAATAACTTATTGACTCCAGAAACCCTCCTAATTTTTATTGTTATTTAATCTACTAGTTGGCAGCACTGTTGGGAAATTTATGAATTTGTCAAGCAACATAATTTTTATGAGACGCTGGCATTCGATCAAGAGTGAGAATTAAATGGACTCCACAATTCTAAACTGTCCAAAACCACCAATCGTTGAAGAAATATTCGGCAAGCACACTATACTGTTGTATTTTTTTTTTATGTAATGTAGATATGTGATCCGGGAAGATACCCAGTGGGTAGGGTATTTATAAAAAAGTAAACGCAAAGAAAATGACTTTACAATAACCCAAACTTTTTTGGGTTCTTTGAAGATGATCTATTAATATTGGTTCTAATAATTGTGGTATAATCAATAAATTGTTTAAAGTAGTGGGTAGTATATTCAATTAGTAAATCAAGACTTGTGTTGAGATTTTCAGTTACCTAGAAGTGGAGGAAGCCAGTTTATGTTAGCCTCGGTGTGGGAGTCCAGGAATATCAGTACCTGTCCGGAGGCTATTTTCGCTCCAGCCAGACGAGCTCTGATCAAACCGTCTCTCTGAGGCAAGTGTATCACCTTCACCTTGGGCAGATGTTGGGCGACGTAGTCATCTAATGGCTTCTTGCAATGGTCTACAACATATCGGATTGAATGATAACCCTTAAAATGGTTAGACTCATTTATTAAGGGAAGAAAGCAATATGTAAAATTGACATGTGTTGAGAATGGTACTATTCAAAATTGTATATCCAGAGATTGGAGGAGCTAAATTACTCAGTACCTCAGGACTCTGTACCCGGTCCTCTTCTGTTTATTTGTTATTTTCGTGGGCGTAGTGCAAAACTCAACCAAATAAAACATAATAATCAACTCATCTTGTATGCAGATGACTCAACTCTACAGATTGCTGAACCAAACTTTTTAATACTAAATCACTATCCTTACAACTTTTAAAAGTCACAATTGAGTTCCTTAAAATAAAAAAAAAATAAAATTAAGACCTCTCACATAAATGAAATCAATGTAAGTATAAAACACTCTGTGCAGGATTAGAAAAGGTAGAAATTGACGACCTGGAGGAATTCACTCGTTTAGTTCAAAGTCTTCATCTAGATTCCTCTGAAATGAAGAACGTTGTTTTCAACTTACAACTTCAACAGAGCACATGTTGAATCTCAAAACACATCCTTACACTAATACCTTTTGAGCTGAAGTCATCTACGAGGATGATCTCCTTCAGTAGGTGTGAAGGAGATCGGTTGACTACACTCCACGCTGTTCGCAGCAACGTACTCCAATGTTCGTTGTGGAACGGAACAATCACACTCACGGAGGGCAAGTCCGATCTGTACTGCTTTTTTTGGCACCTTTAAAACAACAAAGAACAGTAGAGATTCCTGCATTGTACAGATCAAATGTGACTTTTGCTATAGACATGTTGATTATGTGTCAAACAGCCATTAAAACTGTTTGCCATTAAAACTGTTTTCAATTAAATAATTGGAATCAACCTATAGTACAGAAATATAAATAAAACTTTTGAAGGGACAGAGGTGATGAAAGGAATTAAGGAAACGGTTTTAATTTATTGAGTGATAGTTCCTGGACTGGTAGGGGCACATAAGCTCCTAAAAAACATCAACGTTGACTTTCAAACCTTGTCAGCAAAGATACAAAGCGTTGCTGAATTTGACTGCCTTGAACATGAGCAGGATAAACTAACAGACCATAAAACGGACTTAGTGACTTAGTGCGTATTGGTGAAAACTATTGTTTTTCACTAATTGGATTTGTCAAACGTACCAAAAATAATTTCTAGAATGAGTTCTTAGCTTCATTTATCAGGCTATCGACTTGGAAAACACATGACAAAAGAGAATCAACCAGAAAATACCTAACAGATGAAACAAACATATTTTTCAAACTATCCAAGAAATTAATGTTCGTATATTCATCTATATTAGACCTTCATATATATTGATTGAGTGGGATGAACCAAGGATTGGCCAACACCAGCTGAAGCTTCTAACTAGTATATTTTATTTCACAATTATTGATTGGTTTTAAAAGTTTTTCATCATGCATAATTCCATAATACATAATGCACCTACTTGAGAGATGACTGTATTGTTTTGTTGTTTTGTTCTTGTGTATTGTATTTGTCTTTTATTTGTGTTCATATTTTATGTAACGATGAATTTGACACCATTCTTGTATATACAATATATACTAATGAATAAAGATGTTTTGAATTGAATTGAATTGAATGTCTTGAAGTGTCTCACCCTTTCTTACGAATATCCGGCAAAGACCGGTTCAACGATATGTGATCACTAAGCAGCGCATTAAACCCGTTAGTTTTGTATAGATTTTCTTTTTCTTTGTCAGTCACTGAAGAAGGAAGTGTTGCGGGTTTCCCGTGTTCTCCATTACCTGAAAACAAATTTGAAAAAAGAATAATTTCGGCATTACAGAGGAATTGAATGACACAATTTAGCTTGTGTTTAAACAACGTAACGCATGACTGCAAACATTGGGTCTTGTCTTCCCTTGGTAAATCTTTCTATTAAAGTTGGAAAATTCACATAAAGTGATACTACATGATAGCCATTGCAACCCATGCACACAAACTAAACAAATAACTCATATTAATTTGAAATAACAACTTCACCAATATTTCTGAATTTTTAATATTATAATTTAATTTTATAATGGACATGACTTTTTGTACCACGGTGAGCCTCTGAAGCTCACAATTGAAGAGCTTGAAAGAGTTTGTACCACGGTGAGCCTCTGAAGCTCACAATTGAAGAGCTTGAAAGAGTTTGTACCACGGTGAGCCTCTGAAGCTCACAATGGAAGAGCTTGAAAGAGTTTGTACCACGGTGAGCCTCTGAAGCTCACAATAGAAGAGCTTGAAAGAGTTTGTACCACGGTGAGCCTCTGAAGCTCACAATTGAAGAGCTTGAAAGAGTTTGTACCACGGTGAGCCTCTGAAGCTCACAATGGAAGAGCTTGAAAGAGTTTGTACCACGGTGAGCCTCTGAAGCTCACAATTGAAGAGCTTGAAAGAGTTTGTACCACGGTGAGCCTCTGAAGCTCACAATTGAAGAGCTTGAAAGAGTTTGTACCACGGTGAGCCTCTGAAGCTCACAATGGAAGAGCTTGAAAGAGTTTGTACCACGGTGAGCCTCTGAAGCTCACAATTGAAAAGCTTGAAAGAGAGACTAAGAGTTCAACATAGAAAGCAGCAAAAAATACTAACAACTTATTTTGAAAACTCCAGTTGGAAATCAATTCATGGCTGGAGGAAAGAGACAAGCTGAGGTGACTCCTCAATCTGAGAACCAAACTAAAAAAGGAGGATTGAAAACTCCAGTTGGAAATCAATTCATGGCTGGAAGAAAGAGACAAGCTGAGGTGACTCCTCAATCTGAGAACCAAACTAAAAAAGGAGGATTGAAAACTCCAGTTGGAAATCAATCCATGGCTGGAGGAAAGAGACAAGCTGAGGTGACTCCTCAATATGAGACCAAACTAAAAAAGGAGGATTGAAAACTCCAGTTGGAAATCAATTCATGGCTGGAGGAAAGAGACAAGCTGAGGTGACTCCTCTATCTGAGAACCAAACTAAAAAAGGAGGATTGAAAACTCCAGTTGGAAATCAATTCATGGCTGGAGGAAAGAGACAAGCTGAGGTGATTCCTCAATCTGAGAACCAAACTAAAAAAGGAGGATTGAAAACTCCAGTTGGAAATCAATTCATGGCTGGAGGAAAGAGACAAGCTGAGGTGACTCCTCAATCTGAGAACCAAACTAAAAAAAGGAGGATTGAAAACTCCAGTTGGAAATCAATTCATGGCTGGAGGAAAGAGACAAGCTGAGGTGACTTCTCTATCTGAGAACCAAACTAAAAAAGGAGGATTGAAACTCCTGTTTCATCATGTCCCAAGTCTGCCCCATCTTGCAGATAAACTCTGAGGTGACTCCTCAATCTGAGAACCAAACTAAAAAAAGAGGATTGAAACTCTTGTTTCATCATGTCCCAAGTCTGCCCCATCTTGCAGAGAAACTTTGAGGTGACTCCTCAATCTGAGAACCAAACTAAAAAAGGAGGATTGAAACTCCTGTTTCATCATGTCCCAAGTCTGCCCCATCTTGCAGAGAAACTTTGAGGTCACTCCTCAATCTGAGAACCAAACTAAAAAAGGAGGATTGAAACTCCTGTTTCATCATGTCCCAAGTCTGCCCCATCTTGCAGAGAAACTTTGGTTCGAATATTTATTAGTTTGTAAGATCAGGATCAAAACATGTCACCAAGTGATAATGTCAGAAGGTAGGTATCAGAAGAATGAATTAAACATGATATTCTAATGATTCTGGCAGGAACGAACAAGGAAACCAAAGGAATTAAATTTGTAATTGATTACACCCGGATCATTTTGTAAGAAAGTTACATTACACAAACTTACTCTTAGTCCGATTCCAAACTTTTACCTCAACATAAGCCAAGTAAATTTTGAATGAAAAAATAGCAATGACAGCTTAAATTTCAAACCTCCATTTGCATTTCAGGCTGCGGGTTGGTTTGTAGTAATTACGAGTTATCCATAAATCCTATCATACTCCTACAATCTAATTGAAGGACTACCTAGATCAATCGCATTGCTTAGATAACGTTGCTTGCCAGAATATGCCTCATGCCTTGAAAAATTATCGACCCACCAAAGCCTCTTATCCAAAACTCAAAGAAGCTTCCTCCATGCTCAAAAAAATCAGATTGCATGAGAAGATCCACAAGTATACTATTTCATGTTACCGAGCAATATCAGGCTGGGTCACAACTGATACTGATAATACCTGGGGGAAGATCACACTGTGATCTATTGTGTCCCTCAAACTAGCCTCCAGTCTTTAACTAGAGGCGATGGCACAGTCTGTTGGGCCATCAACCCAACTTATTATGCTTAACAAGTCCAAGGCCACCACCGCCTATGTCGACCGCTGGGTAAAAGCCACCATGAGATCACCTCCCCAAGATTGAGGATATTATCGAGCGGCTCAAGATGTGTTCCACAAATGAGGCCGGTGATCTGATGGAACTCATAGGCAATATACTTTTAGTTAATCAATCCCGCCCCTCCCAGAAATCAATCTTGAAATTTTCACTGTTCTACGGATGCCTTAGCACTCAAGACACACATAAACCAGCCATTACTCCAAGGCAGTCAGGGATAAAGGCTTCACTCCCAAAGTTTGCGCCCTCTTGTCTTGGATAGATCACTCTGGAAAGGGGGAGAAAGTGCAGACCATCGACTTCACTATGTCCAGCGATGCACTGTTAATGCCTTCCTTTCATCCTCTTCCTGGCTTCTTCAGGTTCCATGCCCTGTTCTAGGATTTGGAGGTACCAGCGGGTTACTGCCCCGCTCTGCCCTACTACTTTCCACCAGGTTCTCCTGGTTTCATGTCGTTGCAGATCAGGGCATTTTACCTCCCTTTCCATGACTTGCTGTACTAGCCCGCGTTCCCACGAGCTTCTCACTGGGGATCTGAAGTTGGCCTGGACAGAGCCCCGCATGGCCAGGCAAGGCTGCTTACTGCAGGAGGGCGCTTGGTATCCTGCAAGGAGGGCGCCTGGTATCCTGCAGGTACCGTTAAAACACCATACCAAAGAGGCCAGGTACCATCCACCCCTCAGCTCGGAAACTAACACCTTGGGTTAGCCTATAACAGAAGAAGGAAAGGAGGGGGCATAAGTTGGCCGAAGAGATCAGAGATAGAAAGATGGAGGCAGTTGGTCCATGCTTGGGAAGAAGAAAAACATGGAGTGAAAGGACAGACCCTGCTCAGTTGAAGAGTATGGAGTCAGGGAGGCTGATTGCAATGGCTAGCCACCGGGCGATGGGTCACAAAGAAAAGACGATACAAGTCCCCCCCCCAGCAAGATGACCCTCATCAGCAAGATTGAAGAAATCTGCATAGCTCTTAATGATGAGTAGCCTACTTATAAATAACCTAACTATAAATTATGACACCTTGTGGGACACTATTATAAGATGAAATAGGTACTTGTTGGTGCCAAGGACCATGTCTCGGGTTTTGCCCAGGATCTTACAAAGGTATTCTACATTGCTGAGCACAGCCTGCTTCTAAATAAGCTAGAAGGGTGGAAGGGTCTTCTAGACCTAGACCTAGTCTAGAGTTATCGAGTTCACTTAGACAGAAAGAATACAAAATATTGAATTCCACTTCCCACAATCATAAGAACCATTTTCATCTCAGGGCCGGCGCTCACTATCCCGACCACGGCCACGACCAAACGCCCGACCAGTTGTTGTCATTCACCATGCGTCCAGAGCACGACCCAACCAAGGCAACAATGTTTTACAAACTTCAGTAAATATGGATGTTGAAGAAGTAGCTGCTGTGGTGCATTTGCACGTTTAAGTGGAAAAAGAAACGATACTGGGAACATCCAATGTTAACCGTCAGGTCTACAAAAGGGCAGTTTGCAACATTTTATGAAGAGCTATGTCAATATGAAGACAGGTTTTTTAATTACACAAGAATGTCTGTTAAAAAAAGCTTTGATGACTTACATAGAAAAGTTGCTGGTGAAATCAGAGGGCAAGACAGTGTATAGGAAGGGTATATGAGTGGTGTACTGGTCGGGTCGGAGGCAAGTTGAAGGTAGTGCGCGTCGGGCCCGACCAAACTGGAAAACTTTGGTCGTGCGACCAGGGTCCAACCAGCCGACCAGTGCGCGCTGTTCCATTTATTCCCATTATAAAACTGGTCATATCCGACCAGTCGAAGTCGTGGTAGGGATAGTGCGCGCCGGCCCTTAGGCCTACACCTAAAAATTTCCAATCAGTCAAAAGTTCAATTATTGTAGTGACAAATCAAATAGGCTTACAACTTCTGCTTATCTGCTTTTGTACCATTATTTATTTGCATGATGTGTAAGTTTAGGTATCCTAAAACCTTGTACACTAATTGTTTACTATTGTTATTAGTTGACTGAACTTGACTTGTGCCTCTTGCAGCATGTATTTATATAATTTGACTGTGTCTCATGTATTTATATAATGTCTATTCTTAGACGAATAAATATCATTTCATTTCATTTCTAAAGCTAAAAATCCTTGTTTCCGTTAAGTTAGGGTTATGTTCATTTAAATAGCCAATATCTCGCTAAAGGCAAATCATATTTAAAGTGCAATAAACTTAGTAAATCACTTTGCTACTCAGTGTAAAGCAATATTTGTAGCCTTCCTTTAACATAGTACCACTACAGTAATAATACTGGAATGCTGATGTGAGTGTGGAAGATGGTCGAGAAGAGAACTCTTTTTAGGTTCAGTCGAATCACATTCTTAGGCTTCTTAGGCTATTTTCAATATTTTTTTACTTTTTCATAATCCAATTAAAAAATCACCCTGTAAGTTACGATGGGGTTAAGACTAAAAACTACCTAACTTAAGTTGTAGGCCTACTAATTTAATCTACACAATTAGGCCTAAGCAATGTAGTTCAGTTCTAAGATTCATAATCCTAAGTAAACTTGTTCACATAGGCTGGCCTAGGCCTAAGATAAAAGCAAGCGTGTTAGCACCTTTAGGCTACATAATAATCAGTTAACTAACCCTTTAAGACCCGGGAATCTTAGTCATCTCAACCGCTTTAAGTCCTGAGCAAATTTTGAATAAATGTTGGTTTTTAACCTAGATTTCAAATATTAAAATTATTGATTAGGTTTGTTTTAAAGACGAAACCTTCATACTACCATATTAACCATTTCAGTTTCAGCAATAATTAGCATTATATACGTTTAAAACAGAAATAAAACAGTCATTAACCTTAACAGTTGCCTCTTTCTCCTGTCTTACCATGACATTGCAACAAAACAATCAGTGTTACCATAAGACATGAAGGCAGACTGCAAAACAAAAATTCCCAGCTGATCTCCATAACCTACACAATCGATGTGTACAGGTCTGAGCAACAGAAAGATCCAGAAACTTCAAAAAAAAAAAATAAACATCTAACCTACACAATCGTGTTGGTTAGGTTGTCAGGACTTAAAAATTTCGCAGAGGATACACGTCCGGTAACAGGACGTGGATTAGGCGTCCAGCAGTTACTGTCATAACCTAACCTAACCAACCAAACTTGCTGATAATGAAAAAAATCAAATGAAGGTTCAATTCTCTTCATAACATAAAAAAATTATAAATGCCAAAAATTCTAACAACAGATGTACAGTTAAGAAGAAATTACATTCAAAGCAAAATCTGTGACAAAAAGTTAAAGAAACCGATGGGTTTCGAACCAGGGACCTCTTGGATATCAGCCGAGCACTCTATCCACTACACCACGAACAACGCTGGCCGAACATCGTATCGTTGTGGAAATGGCGTTCCGGGACCCCACAACCCGGTGACGTCACTACCGGACGCCTAATCCACGTCTGGTTACCGGACGCGTATCCTCTGTGTAAAAATTTACCTACACAAATGAGTGTGCTGGGTCTGAAAGGGCTAAAATTCAGTAGCCTAACTTATATCACTTACAGTTATCACAATCTTTATTCCACTAAGCAAATAAAATTAAACAGGGTGTTAGGCTATCAAAAATTGTAAATTACAAGTAAGGCCTAGAATACCAGTCTCATTTAGAGCCTAGATTAAAATAAAACATACCACTTCTAGCTTTGTCTTCTTCAATTTGTCGGTAATCATGCCAATCAACTTTAACAAAATTTTCTAAATGTAAAGAATCTTTCACTTCATTTTCTAGTTGATGTGAGGAATATTTGTTTTCTAACCTAACTAATTTCTCCGGAGGAGGTATAGGATTCACTCCCCTAACTTTGTAGTAGTTAGAACTAAAGTCTCTCGGAGGTCTAACATGTTTGAAAATTACAACAGTTGTAAATATAGTAATCACACCTAACCCAAGAAATTTACAAAACCCTTTCAAACTCCTCTTCATTTTATTACAGGCATTGATGAACTAAAACTTAAGTAACTTATGTGTTTTGTAGCCAACATGTAACGAATTAAATTGTTGAATGCAGTAAATGAGAACTGTTTCTTTGGTGTTGAAAACACAATACACAATCTTGTAAATAGTTTCCTTTTTAAATAATTTCTTCATACTCAACAGATTAGTTAACCTAGCCAGCCAACCTCAACCATTGTGACAGACTGAGACTCAGGAACAGTCAGAACTCAGACTCGACTGACACTGACTGAAACAGAAACAGAAACACTGAAACACAAAACACAAACAACTAGACTCTGACACTGACACGACACGGTCAACCAACCAACCAGCCTACGAGCATGGTAACAGACAACTGAGACAACTAAATCGTGGGCTACAATTTACTACTACCATGCAGCCTCGCTGGACATGGCAAAGGCCGTGGTGTCTCATAGCTCCGACTCACTTAACTCCGATCAATTCTACTAATAATAATAATGTAATGTTTAATGGTCAAATAAACAATTTGAATTTGAATTTGATCTTGTTTATTAGTAAATAGTTCTAAATAATATGAAGTTGCAGTAGTTCCCAGTAGTTTCGGATTTATTGCAATTAGGCCAAATAACAAATAATTAGATAATTAGATACTAATAATTAGATAATTAGAATTATCTAATTATCTAATTAGAATAATAAGGATAATTAGAATTAATTAGAATTAGATAATTAGATAATGCTATAATTAGATGCTAATTATAGCATCTTCAAAATCCCGTTTAGCAGAATGTGAAACAACGTTCTTGTTTAACAAACACTGAATTAGTACATAAAACTATTTCTCAAAATACAATTGTATAAATAATAATTGTTGTTTATAAGGGCAAATTACAATATATCACAAGGATTGGGCACAAACTCAAAACAAATCTGATGAAATGAAAGACAAGGATTAAGATTAGGTCCTGTGCAACATGAGAACAGCATTCCAAGCATTGGAACAGGAGTTGACGTAAATCGACACTACCTAAACAAACAGCCACAACCTGATTGGCGAATTAACAGCCTTAATTGAGTGCTTTGAAGATTATAATGGAGTTTGTCAGGGTTTAACATTTTTCAGTGTTCAATCAAGCACGAAGAACCAAAGGAATTAACTCAAAGCTAATTAGGGTGATGGGGCCTTATCCTGGGGCCGGTTTGGCTCTTCCACGATAAATTGAGGCACGAAGAAGCTGCCAACACTTCTTCGATTTCACTAAACTTGACCTACAATGGGGATTCGTGGAGAGACTTGAGGACATGGATTTCATAAGCTTGATGACACAAAGCCTTGAAGACATGAAGGAGAAACTCAAAGATATCAAGGAGGAGGGCAAGAGCTGGGGCGAAATCAAGCTGATGGTACAGAACCGTGTATGGTCATACAATATACATTTTACTGATTAATGCAGGCTGTTAAAAATAAACTTTAATTTGTTAATATACTTTTTCAATGTTACTAATTTAAATTATCAGATAAACTTTCAGGTTGGACCACACTGACCAACCCGAAGAGAATGTAGGAGAAGCAGGATCTAGCTTCTTGATTGATTTATTGATTATAATTGAAGAAGAGAATGAAAATAAAATAACAATTGAAGAAAACCTAGACACTAAAGATAAATAGAATTTTCAAACATCCCTCGCCCGTGCACAACTCATAGGTAATAGACCCTCTTCCCTTTCCCCTGTCAACTAGACGACTTTTAACTTTCGTTGATTTAATCACCACCTAACAAAGAATGGGTGATGAGGTGGCGAGGGGGGTGAGGGGGGTGATCAACAGCAGACAACTGTGTCGCACAGCGCTACACTCACGAGTGTGGAACAGCTGTTCTGATACTTTGAGAGACGTTTGCCAACAAATTTATCTTGTGCAACATGAGGAGTAGAATAAAAAGCATTAGGACAGGAGTTGACGTAATTCGACCCTACCTAAACAGCCACAAACTGATTGGCGAATTAACAGCCTAAATTGATTACTTTGGAGATAATTGGATGGAGGTTGTTGGGGTTGGACATTTTTTAGTGTTCGACCAAGCACGAAGAAACAAAGGAAGAATAACTCAGTTGAATTATTCTACTCAAAGCTAATTATACTCCTCGCCAAAGCTGGTGGCGGCTGAGGGATTAGGACGGAAGGGTCGGTGAGCCTACCCCCAATTAGACCGCACTCGACTGCTTCGGGTCTTGGTTATTATAAGCACTACTGGGTTAAAAATGCAATCGGCAAAGAATTTTTTTATTAGTAAAATATTATAAAAATCACTACGTATTTGAAGTCTACATAGAATTACAAGAAAAGTAAGTCCGAACACGATGTAATCGCGATATTGTAAAGTATTTGGTTTAAAGGGGCATATCAGATAACACATTTAAAGTTTTCAAACTTGTAAAAAACATTGTAGACTTTGTACTCGGTTATTATTGTGTTCCGATAATTCACACTATCAGTGCGGTTTTAGTTTCGATTTGCTTTTATAAACAAATATATTTATTTTGGATTAATTTATGCTTTAGCCAGCGAACTTTTTGTATTTTATAAGACACTCTTCTACCCTATAAACGACATGAGGGGCCTGAAATCAGATGACTAACTGGGTGACTGGGTGGCATGACTCACATTCCACCGTCGTTGTTATCGTATCTCCCCCCTGTCCAAAGGTGAACTATTTAGTAAAAGAAGATTTTAGAGATACGCTATCTGTTGTTCAAAGGTTTATTGCGGACATTTTCCATCACGAATGTAAAAAACAATACACAACGTTTCGGGATCTGGAATCTGATCCCGTCTTCAGGCGAAAAAACTTAACTAACACATTACAACTAACAATACACAAACGCCCAACCTAAGTTGGAATACACTACCGAGGGTAGTAGTCAAAAAATATGCACTGTATAGCAGTCAAGTCATGATACAACATGCAATTAATAACAAATCACAAAACATTATAATCTATAAAAGGTGTACGTACAAAAAACTCACACAATGGAACACTAACAACACCGTACGCGATGACTCCACCAATGAGACTGAACCAACATGGCTGACCAATCGGAAACACGGAGACAACAGAAATGGCTTCCGGTCCCTGGAGAAGTAAAACCAACAAAATGGCGGAGCGATGTACGATGCCGCAAGATGGGTGTTAATTATGTTTATTCCTATCACGAGTTTTACTACGAGTTAACATAACGTGCGAATTTTGAGGAGAACTCGTTATTTCCCTATTTATTGAACAATTAAGTTCCCTATCCTTTAGTTCCTTGTTCAAAATGGGTAGCCAAAGTGGCCTTATTTCAACCGATGACTGACTGATTGGTTGGTCTGCTAATTTAATGTATGAGGCTTCAATGAGTTTACGTTTGAAAAAATGAGGTTCCTTATGGACAATTTTTGCCTCTTCAAAATTCATACGATGATTTTCGGACCAGCAATGATGAGCGATCTTAGATTTTTCCACTAAACCTTTTTTTGTGTTTTCTCTGTGTTCTTTGATTCTAATGTTCAACGGTCTTTTTGTCTCGCCATAGTAAGGCCTGGAACAATCATTGCAATTTATTCTGTAAACACAGTTTTTAGTATCCTGAGTGTCATTTTTGGGTTTTGTTTTGACGAGACTCTGCCTAAGTGTGTTTTGTGTCCTAAATGCTGTTTGCACATTAAATTTCCTAGCAACCCTTCTGATTTTTTCCGACAGTCCTGACACATACGGGATTGACATGTGGACGAGTTTTTCCTTGCGATTTTGTAAAGGTTCACGCGTAGCCATATCTTTCTTGCATTTGTTTATAATGGATCGAGGGTATCCGTTACTAGCCAAATCCTGTTCTACTTTCTTAATTTCATCCTTTAACTCATCCTGATTGGAGCAAATGCTCTTAGCCCTGTCAAACAGAGAGTAAGCAACCCCCTCCTTGACAGAAATTTGGTGGTTTGATTGAAAGTTTAGATACTGCCCAGTGTGTGTCTTTTTTCTATAAACAGATGATCTAAGACTGTTCAAATGCTTTTCTACGCACACGTCCAAAAAGGGGAGTTTGTTTTGTGATTCCACCTCCATGGTTAGTTTTATGGAGGATGAAACCCTATTAAGATGCTCTAAAAACTCATTCAATTTATCATCTCCATGAGGGAAAACCACGAAAGTGTCATCGACATATCTCCACCATATCCTCGGTTTGAGCCGAGCTGAAGCCAAAGCTTTTTGCTCAAACTCCTCCATAAAGATGTTGGCAAAGATAGGTGACAATGGTGACCCCATGGCCATACCCTCATCTTGACGGTATAATTTACCCTCCGCTGTGCATTAGTCCACTCAAAACTCCCCATCACGCCTTTTCCTTGGCAGAACCCTCTATCATCCCTTGGAACCCCAATGGAACCTTGACAAACTTGTCGATTCCCAGGGAACGACCCCTTCTACCCAAGACGACTGGTCAAGGGCAATTGAGAGCCTGCGCAAGGCAAGGGAAAGCAGGGAAAGGAAATACAATCAAAAGCGAACACCCAACACTTTCAAATCAGGTGACTGGATTATGTTTAGATTGAACCCGATTAGTAATGCAGTCGACCACATAAACCAGAAACTATTGCCTATGTGGTCGAAACCTTGTGTCATTGAAACATTCACCTCTCCAGTCACTGTTCGCTTAATTGATCCTGTTAGTAATAAATTCATCCGCAAAGCACATGTTTCTCAACTCAAAAGATTTTTTTCAGCCAACAACATGAATTAAAGACTTTTCATTGCCATAGGTAACACCCTGAAAATGATCGTTGCCCATTGCACGTATGCACCTATTGATATTAGGTTAAGATTTTCTCTACTCTTCTTCTTCTCTTGTCTGGTGTGAACGGAGGGTTGTGAGTCCAAGGTTTCTCACCTTCTCCTTCAGTCTATTTATTTTTTTTCAGTGAATCCACTGTTTTCAGAAAGAAATTCCCTAATTTCACTGATGTCTTTAAACATCTTCATAGAGAGAATGTGGATTTGATCTCTAAGATCTTGTGATTCTTCCATTAAATCGTCCTTCTTCTTTCTATAAGTTGCTAAGGATTTCTGCAATAACTTGAGATTTTTCTTTGTCATAGGAAGCTGAGCTTCACCAAATGCAAATAGCTGCATTTGATTGAATGGAGTAGTGTTACACTCTTCCATGATCACACAGAGTTCAGTTTTGGCTT